GGAGGTGGCTGGGGGGAGGGCTAGATAAAGGAATCCTCTGCCTCTGAGAAGTGCTATTTCACTTGGCTGGGGCTCGGAGTCACACTATCGGCCTCTGAATGACGGTGACATTCCCCAGGGATTAGGCATGCGGTGTAGACGCTGGGTCTCCACGGGGGTGCCGAGCCCCTTGGAACTTAAATCATGCCATTAGCCACTAGCTAATGTTTCTCCCACATTCATTTCATATCTCCACGACTTCCCATTCTCCCCTCCAGAAAAGTTCCGCTGCACCTTGTTGTATAAACCCCCCTGTCTTACCCCGCTGCTTTGCTGTCTCTTAGCAATAGCAAAGGAGATAAAGCCATTCTCTGGATCCTTCAAAGCACAGCTCAAAACTCTTCTTTTCCATGAAGCCGCAGCAGGAAACCCTGCCCTCCCCTGCTCTGAGCCCCTGGGATTCTGAACTCAACCCACAGCTGTTGGTTTGTCACCAGGCACAGAACTCGTGGCGGAAGGACAGCACACAGGCCACCTGGGCTTGGGGCAGTGATGCTTTGAGGGCAGGCAAAGATGCTGATGTCACTCCTGGTTTGGGATAACCACTTTTCTCTTCAGGGCTATTGGAAACACCTAGTGATCCAGGACCCAGATTCTCTGGCTCCCAGTCCACTGCTACTCTGATTCTAATGCAATCCCTGTGCGGCTCCCGAGAGGACAGAGGGCCTGGCTGATAAGTCCACAACCCGGGAGACGGAGGCTTCGCCTGTCCCTGCAGCCAATGAGGGACGAGTTGTTAGGCAGAAAAGAACCTCATGGGTCATGTCCTCAGTTTTCCTCAGCTAAAGTTCCCTGACTGTCTCCTTCAAATTCAAATGTGCATCCAGTTCCATGAGTAACCACATTATTTTTAAACAGCATCCTGTGGCCACTCTCTCTCCTGGGTTTTCAGGGAGGCAATCCTTTGTGAAGCCGATACAGGCCCTTATTTTATGATGGTTTTAAAACAGCTACAGGGGTTCCAGGGAGTGCATGTAAAATCCTGTGCAGTAGTCAAAGGAACCAGGAGTTAGCAGGGACGCTTCTGGTCTCCAGAGCCCCATGGCATCGAGGAGCACCATGCCCAGTAGTTTGAAACCTCCATCCACCATAATTGTAATCAGGACTGGGGTAACATCTGCAACTCCTCCACTCAGTCGTTGAACTCCGGCCAAGTGGCTGAACTTCTTGGAGCCCTAGTTTTCTGACCTGTAAAATGGGCATAAAATAATCACCTAAAAGAGGTGGCTGTGAGGGTGAAATAAGGAATGTTATGTACGCAAATAATATAAAAAGTCATAAAAGGGCCCGGCTGGCATGGTTCAGTGGTTGAGTGTCATCTATGAACCAGAAGGTCACGGTTCGATTCCTGGGTCAGGGCACATACCTGGTTGTAGGTTCAATCCCCAGTGTGGGGTGAGCAGGAGGCAGCTGATCAGTGATTCTCTCTCATCGTTGATATTTCTCTCTCTCTCTCCCTCTCCCTTCCTCTCTGAAATAAATAAAAAAATTTTTTAAAAAAGGTCATAAAACTAAAAGGTTCTTGCTCCATCCTAATTTCCAGAGGTAATTCATGTTAATAATGAATTACTTGTATAATGTTCCAGAAATGTTTTATGCTGTTTGATTTCATCGTACTGCAATCCTGTTGACAAACTTGCATTTCTCCTTAAGACTACATCCTGGAAGTCTATCTCTAGTAGTGTGTGTAGAAATACCTCCTTCTTTGTAAGAGCTACATTGCATTCCCTGGGTGTTGGGGCCCTTTTTTATGTAATCAGTTGTTTCTAGTTTTTGCTGCCAATTAACCCACAGGATACATTCAGAAGGGTGACTGCTGAGTCAGTTTCATTTGTTGCCATTTTATAGACAGTGCCGACTCACTTCCCAGGAGGTTGCAGCACCCGACAGGTTCGCTCACAGTGCATGAGAGTGTCTGTGTCCCAGTTTCGCCAGCTCTGGGTATTATCAAACTTTATAATTTACTGTTTAAAAGAATAACAGTAATAACATACATATGTGCAAAACCAGTGCATAGTAAGTATGTTCAATGGCAGAGATAAGTGCTCACAACTACCCTGCAAGGTGGGCTAGTTTCCCTTCGAACAGGGCAGGGGATTGCAGGGAGTGAGGCCAGGGTCTAAACCTGGGCTCCAGTTCATTATCCCCATGACTTTGGACAGGTTCCAGGCTTCTCTGTCTGCAAAATGGTGATATTAAATGAAATAAGGCATGAGAAAATGCCTAAAACCAGTGCCTAGGATCCAGTTAACATTTATTAATATTACCAAACTGACCAGGGTGCCAGAGCCCCTGAGAGTTAGAGGTTTGAGAGTGACTCTAGTAGTGACAGAATCCTGGGTCCAGTTCCCCACTCCTTCCCAGCACCTCTGGCCAGGCTGCTGAATTCCTTTCGAATTTTCTTGTTTGTAAGATATCAATTTCGATCCTTCCTATAAATGTACTGATCTGGATAGAAATGAGCTGCAGACTTGAGTGACAATGAAGATGACATTTTACAGCCACTGGGAGATACAGGTGGCCAGCGCCCCAGCAAAAGAAGGCAGATGGGATCAGTTCCATGTCTGTCGCTAAGGCAGTGGCTGGATCTGGTTGAGGTCTTGCTTCTGTCCCTTAAAAGCCAGGTGACCCGGGGCAAGTTCTAACAGCTCTCTGAGCCTCAGTTTCCTCGATTCTAGCATATGGATAACAGTAGCCACCTCACGGGGTTATTGTGAGCGTGAAGTGAGTCATCATCTATGCAGGCACTCAGAAGCTGACTTCTATTAAATGTTCAATTACATTCATAGGCTGCAAAGCCTCACTGCCTAACCGTCGTTCACTGGTAGGTCAGAAGGGACGGATACTTCTGCAGAGTGGGACAAAGAGAGATGTCACCAGCCCTCACCTGCTAGTCACGCTCCCTATTTGTCAAGTCGGATGACTCACACAGCATTTCTCTCACTTCCATAACTGTGAAGGCACCTGGGGTGATGGGGGTGGTGAGGCCCCGGGGCCGGACAAAAGCAAGACAGTTTCTTAAATGGTTGCAACTCCAGCTAGGGATCTTTTCATACTTCCTGGAAAGAAGTGAGGAAACATAAGTTAAAAACATCTCTTATTGGAACTGTTTAATACACTCAATGTTTGACTTGCAAAAAGGCAGTGCTTGTTCAATATTTCCATTTGGGGGGATGTGAGGTAGGGAGGGAACTAGCTGATGTTTTTGCTACACTGTTTCCCTCTCCCTTTGCATCTGCTTCAATTCAAATGTGAGTTATGACATAACATAAATTGCAAAGATTAAGCTATAATCATGGAAATGGGATTTCTGAAAAACACCTTGTGAGTTATTCATTTTTCCACTTTTTTTACTTTGAAAATTTTAAATTTATAGCAAGGATACAAGAAAAGCCCAGTGAATACCTAGATTTACCCACTGTTATTATTTTGTCACATATGCTAATACCTTGTTTTTGAGATCTAGAGAGCCACACTCATATAATATGAGCTCTTTTTGTTTGTTTGTTTATCTTTTTGCCAGTAAAAATGTCATGGGAATGGATTTAATTGTATCAACATTGTGACCTCCAGGCACTCAGCTTCCTGAAGTTTGAGATCTGTTGTTCTATTTGGCTACAAGGTTGGAATATAAGGAATCATGTTTGCACTGATTGTCAGATTGAATACCTCCTGCACCAAATATGCAAGATACATTATCTCTAATCCCAACAGTAACTGTGTAAACCAGGGTCTCATCCCTCTCAGTTTACCTATCCAGTAACTGGTACTCACAGAGGTTGTCACTCCACAGGTAAAAACTGTCTTCCTGAATACAAAGCCCTTTCACGAAGATTCTGGGAGATTCTCAGAAGGAGATTTTAATGCAAGCTGACAGAAGGTTTTAGTTTTAGTATCTGGGAGAATTGCAATGGTAATTTCAGGTAATTTCCATCAACCAAGAGGATTCTGGTGGTGGAAGGTGGGCTTTTATGGAAACTACAGCCAGGAATTTAGTGGCAGCCTCTTCCTAGCGGCGTGTGATGGGGAAATCACCCTGATGCCTCCCCATTTGTAAAATGGGGACAACCATCAATATCTCTTCACCTGGGTTTTTGGTGAGGTGCAATTTTGCGAATTGTGACAACATGAATACAAGGAATTGATGCATCATTTTATCTGTGGCAGGGAGGGAGGGAGGAAGGGAAGGAGAGAGGGAGGGAAGGAGGGAGGGAGGGAGAGAGAGAGAGAGAGAGAGAGAGAGAGAGAGAGAGAGAGAGAGAGAGAGAGGAATCTAGGTAGGATAACACAAATCAAGGGAGGCTTAGTTTCCTGACGCTGTCGGGGAAGTTGCCAGGAACTCAGTCTAGAAAGAGAAGAAAGCATCTTTAAGGGAATTCAATTAGTTACCAGGTCCTAGAGAACCCATTTCCAGAACTTTCCTCTACGTGGCTCTGGGAGGAGGACGGGTGGGTTTGAGACCCTCAGCAAACTTCTTTCCAGGCCGGGGGGCATCCTGGCGTGGGCTCCAGCTCCTAAGCACGCAAGGGACACATTTCCTTGCTTCCCCAGGCTGCAGGTGTCAGAATTTAGAAAGCCCTTTAGCCCGAAGGATCCTGAAGGATTTCCTGGGTGACTTCCGTGATCTTAGATGCTTCTTCAGCACCAGGTGCTCCTCAGCCCCCCATCCGCGCGCCAGGACATTAAGCTGCCCCTTGCCTGGGTGTCTCAGGGCAGGATGCCCTTGTCCACGGCTGTGAACCGGGGTGTACAGGTGAACCGGCGCGCACAGGCTCCCGGGCAACCAACAGAGCTTCAGAGGCGGGGATGGCGGAGGCGCGGAGTCTGAGTACTCTCTCTTTTTCATTCTTCACATTTCCCCTGAGATTTCGCCAAGAAGTAACAAGAATACAAAGCATGCTTGCTTTTGTCTTTGCGCTCGCGGGATTGCGGCGGGCCTTTTAGAGAAGAGAGGAGAAAAGATGACGACCCACCACAGCGGCCCCACCGGCGGCTTCTGGGGACCCCTGAAGCCAGCAGCTGGAGCTGACAGTCTGGAGAGCCGTCGGGCCTGGTCGTCTAAGACCTGGGGTCCAAGTCCCATCGACCTGGGGGAGGGTCCGGGCTTTGCACTCCCAGGGTCGGGGCCCCTCAACCGGGGCGGCGCTGGCCGGGCGCCAGACGCCGGAAGGTGCCAAGCCGCGAGCACTTCGCGCCGGTGATGTGCGCGGACGCCCGGGCGCGCTCCGTCCCCGGCGCTTGGCAGGAGCGCGAGGCGCGGGACTCCGTCTCCGTCTCCCGTCTCCGGGCAGCCCGGCGGCCGGCTCCTGGAAGAGCCCAGGAACTCGAGGAAATCGGCCGGGGGGCAGGAAAGTGGCTAGAACGAACTTTCATGTATTCTGTATCTGCTAGGTCTTCATCATCCTTACTTGACGTTGCTATCGCGAGTCTGGGGGTG